AATGGGCTCCCATGTGGATGTGTATTGCCCTCCTAGCAAGCGGGCTCGCATCAGTTCCCAATTCGCCTCAGGAAGGAGCGATTTCGAGCAAGTCAAGAAGCCTTCAATCGACGTTCTTCCCGATGAATGCCTCTTTGAGATCTTCAGGCGCCTCAATGGAGGTAAAGAGAGGAGCTCGTGTGCATCCGTCTCTAAGAAGTGGCTTATGCTCTTAAGCAGTGTCCGCAAGGTTGATCTATGCAAGAACCCTGTTGCAGACAATTCCGATGGCACTGAAATGACCAACGGTGATGAAGATCCAGAACAGGAAAATGATGGTTTCCTCACAAGGTGTTTGGAAGGGAAAAAAGCAACAGATATTAGACTTGCTGCTATTTCTGTTGGAACCAGTAGCCGTGGGGGACTAGGAAAGCTATCGATCCGAGGTAGCAATTCATTCCGCGGAGTTACCAACCTTGGCCTCTCAGCAGTTGCTCAGGGATGCCCTTCTCTCAAGTCTCTTGCTTTGTGGGACATTTCTTCTGTTGGTGACGAAGGCCTGATTGAGATAGCTAAAGGATGCCCTTTGTTGGCAAAGCTTGATCTTTTCCAGTGCCCGTCAATTTCCAACAGGGGTTTGATTGCAATCGCAGAGAACTGCCCAAATTTGACTTCTTTGAATATTGAATCGTGTTCAAGGATTGGGAACGAGGGCTTGCAAGCTATTGGAAGGTCTTGCTCCAAGTTGCAGTCCATATGTATCAGAGACTGCGTTCTAGTTGGCGATCATGGAGTATCTAGTCTGTTATCATCAGGTTCGTCCGTGCTGATGAAGGTAAGGCTTCAGGCATTGAACATCACAGATTTCTCTCTTGCCGTGATTGGACATTATGGCAAGGCTGTTACCAATTTGTTTCTCAGTGGTCTCCAGAATGTGAGTGAGAAAGGCTTTTGGGTCATGGGTAATGCTCAAGCTCTGCAGAATCTGGCTTCATTAACAATCACATCTTGCCGGGGAACCACAGATGTCAGTCTCGAAGCCATTGGCAAGGGATGCACAAATTTGAAGCAGATGTGTCTTCGCAAGTGCTGCTTTGTATCCGACAACGGGCTGGTAGCTTTTGCCAAAGCTGCGGGATCACTTGAGAGCCTGCAACTGGAGGAGTGCAACAGGGTTACCCAATCAGGGATAATTTCTGCCCTCTCGAACTGCGGAGAAAAGCTGAGATCTCTTACCCTAGTGAAGTGCATGGGAATCAAGGATGTAGGTGCAGCAGTACCTATCCCCTCTAGTTGCAGATCGCTTCGATCCTTGTCCATCCGAAACTGCCCTGGGTTCGGTAGTGCTAGCCTGGCCATGGTAGGAAGGTTGTGCCCTCAGCTCCATAATGTAGACATGAGTGGTCTATATGGAATGACAGATGCAGGGGTTCTGTCACTTCTTGAGAGCTTGGAGGAAGGGCTTGTCAAAGTGAATCTTAACGGATGCTTGAATTTGACAGATGAAGTCGTTATGGCGTTGGTTAGGCTACATGGGGAAACTTTAGAAGTACTGAATCTTGATGGTTGCAGAAAGATTACTGATGCAAGCTTGGCGACAATCGCAAACAACTGCTTGTTTCTTCGTGAGCTAGATGTGTCGAAGTGTGCGATTACAGATTCTGGGCTTGCTGCCCTTTCTTCCGCAGATCAGATCAACTTGCAAGTCCTCTCCATTTCTGGCTGTTCTGAAATCTCACACAAAAGCCTCCCTTCCCTGAAAAAATTGGGCCAGACCCTGGTGGGGTTGAATCTCCAACATTGTACTGCACTCAGCTACAGATCAATTGAGCTACTTGTGGAGAGCTTGTGGAGATGCGATATCTTGGCCTAATAAGGAATAGAACAATAAGCGTATATAGCGAAGGAGAGAAGCAGATATGAAGTAGGGGTAAGATCAAGAAATCAAAAGAATTCGGGTTAGATTCGTCAGTTCGTAGATGTTAAGCACTCACACGGGTATCCACGTTCAGCATACAACATTTTTGGCCCGTTGGTAGTGGCCTTGCTGGTAGATCAGCGGCTTGGTTGTTATCCAGGGGGGGACTTTGGCAGATAACTCCATCATCATCTTTTTTGCAGGCTTTCTCAAACAGGAAAGCCTGTTTCCGCTGTTTAGCCTCTCATCAACGGGAGGTTGCCTCTTTTCACCGCCATGGTTCCCCGAGAATACAGTCCACCAAGCGCCGATGTAAGGTGTTTCCGCTCGCGTTCGGTCCTCTTTTTGTTCCGCTGGATGGTTTACCTGGTGTTTTTAGCTTCGTCCCACATTCCTTAGCCGGCGTGTTAGATTAAGCTTTTACCTATTTTCAGTCTTATGGAAGTCTGTTGTCTGATATCTTAGTTTTCGATTCCGGTCGTTCTGCCATGGCAGCCTTGTTTAAGGGCAACCAAGTCGTAGTTTTGCAGGTTTCTATGAATTGTCCTTTTTCCTCTATATATTATGGGATGCATTTTTGTTGTACACATGTATTTGATGATTTACTATCTCTTGGATTTGATGTCCTCGCTAAAAAGTTATGAAAATTGAAAACCAAAAACAAATGATCATGGTTTGGTGTTGGAAATGAATGGTGATAATAATTCATCGAGAAATGAATTGACACTTTTACTTTAAATAACGCGATATTCTAAATTACTCTAGTTAGGAATCTAGAAACGGGGTCAAACTAGGGTAAATGGCAAGTTCTAGGGTACTACCACCACTTGCATAAAGAGGGTCTTTTTCAATCCGTGGTTCCACCCGATTGAGAGAGGCAACATGGGGCGGTGGTACACAAGATTCTCTTAGGGTAAGAGCGGAGCCAAGATTTTTTTCATGAGTTTCATGGGTGGGCTGACTAAGATAATTACTATAAAGTAACATAATTTTTTCGTACCTACATAAAATTATATAATGATACATGAATATGAAACTTTAAAATCTGAAATAATAATCCAAACTAACATAATAGGTAATACAAATTCATTTTTTTTCTTTAAAAATCTTTATTAATTACATATTAAATTTTAGTTTTTATGAGAATTCGGTGGGCTATATATAAGTATAATATGTTAAAATAAGTTAATACATAAAGTATTAGCAAGAGTTCAAACTAAGGCTCCGCTACAGCCCACCTTAGTCGTGGGTGTAACTCTACCACTGCCCTTAGGGTAAACGAGTGGTGTACCCTTGATCAATTCATCTAATCTGTATTTGAAATGAATGACACTTTATACAATGAGGGCGTTTTGTATCCTTTTTTTTCTGTCTCTACCTGCGGTTCCACCCGATTGAGATACAAGCAATATGCGACGGTGGTGCATCTACTATGATCAATTGGTCTAATTCACATCGAAATTAATGACACTTTATGAGACGATTTAAAGGGCAACAGTTGAAAGTGGTGGTGGTGGTATCCCCTTTTGTTTACAGTGAAGACAATGGTGAGGTGGGGTGAGGTGGTGGAAATGTCAGGGTGATGCAACTGGTGATCAAGTAGAGTAGTTTAGTCGCCCAAGGTGATGAAAGCAAGCAAAGCAGCCATCTTTTCTGGTCTGGTGAAAGAATAACAATATGGCTACAGTGTTGATTCTTTTATCATTTGAATGACTCTTTGTCCTTTTGTACCTCAAAGTACCCGCCAAAAAAACTCCGGTAGGACTATCAAATTCCAACTAGGGCAATTGGATGGGATCACATGTTGTCGAATAAAACTAAAACATATCCGCGCTAATAGAATTTTTGATAAAGCTATTTAATTTGCACAATTAGATGGGATCATGTGCGATCAGATAAGATTAAAATAAAAAATAATCTCGTATTTTTTGTAAGAGTTTCGTGTTTGGGACCCGTGATTTGTGGTAGGGGGATTGATAGCCTACTATTGCTGCGTCCTCTCAACATGTGGTTCTTCTGAGGCCTGATATGTTGAGCAGTAGGACTGTCTCTGTGCACAGATTCTTCCCTGTTTCTATGAAAAGAAAAATATAGGAATCCCACCCGTGTCGTTCTTAATCTATAAGAAAATGAATGGATTGATGAGGCCTTTTGAGCAAATTGTTGTTTCTCTTCCACTAACTAAAATCGAAAATTCTAGTATGCTTCGGTGTTGTATATAAATATATCAGAGTATACTAGAACATCGTCTTACCACAAAAACATAGAATTTAATAAAAGTGATAACTGCGATTAATTTTTATTTTTTTAAGACACACCGCTGTAAAAACTTTCGAAGCATGGGCTCTTCACTTTTCAGTCGGTACAAATGAGACTTTTTTGGGTATTTCAGAATATTTATTATTTTAGATGTCTTAATTATTAAAATTTTATTTTAAAATATAAAAATTAAAATCGAACAGTTGATGAACACCCAAGAATTTTTGTGGTAGACATTTCCTCATCAATGAACGTGACCATGGTGATTGGCATGGCAATTAATGCAAAATTTTCAACTTAAGAAAACTTGATAACACCGTGTAGAAAAATGCTTTATTTCAAACCCTACTATCTTTGGACTCTTTGTGGAGGACTCAATTAGACAACTCTGACACTAATAGGATTAGTAGAGGGTTGAACGTGGTTAAAATGTAAGTGTAACTCATGTTTTTACAAGAGTTGTTTTACGAAACATGATTGGACTGCTCTATTGAAGATTTTTCTTCGAGATTGAAGACCATATATGTTTTTTAAAGAGAAGAAAGCAGATGGGAATGGAGGCAGATTGTCTGCCCTCCTAGTTATGGTGTCCTTCTATGCTCTTCTATTTGTGTGATCACGATTAAGCGACGTCAACATTTTATATTTATATTACTTTTTGTCTTATTATCTTTATTAAAAAATTAATATAAAATATTGACATAACTTAATCGTTACTGCACAAAATAGGAAGACATAAAAAGTCACCACAGGAGGGAATAAAGGGTTTGCATGATGACAAAGTAGAGGACAATTGTACACCAATAATTTGAAAAGGCAAAGGCAAGGAAAAGTCAATTCAGACAGAAAAACTTGTAACTTCAGTTAAAAAACAATATCATCGCTCCATCAAAACTCAGAAGATGCATTGCTTCAGACGGTGGTCAAAGTCACACTCATAAGCCATAGCTTCTTCTTCTTCTTTCCTTTTCCATTGATGGCTTCTTCAAGAAATCACCCCAATGGGTTAAAGATCACAGTCGCTGTCATGTTTCTCATCTTTTTTCTCACATTCTTTCCTTCCATTTCAGGTAACCGAAACGAACCCATTTAAGCTGAGACATCGCTCTGCTAAAAAAAAACTGTTATTGGCACTCCAAATTACTCCTCCCTCCAATATGATGACTTTTTTGGCATGCGAATAACAGTTCTCCGCTAAATGTATATCTTGGTTCTTCTAATTATTTTTTCCTTTCACTCGTAGCTGAGTCAATGTTGAAGAGAGCTGGTGATCAACGGTTAAAAAATCAAATGAAGATGGTGCTGGGATCGAGTCCGCCGCGGTGCGTGAACAAATGCATGAGTTGCAGGCCTTGTACGGCCACTCTCGTTGCTTCTTCGCACCACAAGAGTAGTAAACTCAAGGCAGCAACTTACCAGGGAGATGAGAGCTATTATCTCCTCTCATGGAAATGCAGATGTAGGAACAAGTTGTACCAACCTTGAATATATTGGATTTTAGTTTTAATGTAACGATGTTTCTGCAAGCAGCTTGTAGCTTAAGTGATTAAGAGCATTTACCTGTGTCGGAGATTCGGAGGTCATGTGATCGTCTGACTCAGATTCTGCTTTTGCCGGATACGGCTTGTATTCTAAATAATCAAGTTTACGCTTCCGATGTACTCTAGCAGCTATGATACTGATAGACTGATAAGCTCTCACAGTTTTAAGTCTACGAAGTCCTTCCATGGATTGTTTTTTGAGTTTCAGGTAGGAAAGCTCTTTAGATTGTTGCTGTTTCCATTGTCATCAAAATCATTACATAAACAGTGATATAACTTTAAGAGACTCTTGAGTCTCGTCGGTGCAAATGACCATATGTTTGTCTCTCTCGTCAAATACCTATATAGTGACATAATTCAATAGATGAAACTAGGGAGAGATTCTCGTGTCACGCCAGTGGTATACAACCATGTGTCGTGATAAGAGATAAACCCGTGATTACATATATACAACTAGTGATGGGACATTCTCTAATAACTCGAGGCCATGACATGGACATGCAGTGAGAAGAATTGTAGTGAAAAAGGTTGATGCAAGAAAGAATACTTGTGAAAGAATTCAGATCCTCTTCGAATCTCAGTCGAAACAGATGGACCGAGTAATCCAGACTGTCCAAGAGAGAGAGAAATCCAGACCCTTGGTTTGTGTAAGTAGGTCCAATGGGAAGAACTAATAGGGGCCATAAATTTTAAAATAAATGGTCCGAATTACTCGGTTCGTTGGCACCAAACTGCGAGATCCGAAGAGGATCTCAATTACTTGTGAAAAACATTAAGAAACTCCTATACCGGTGGATTAAATCAACAATCTTCATGATTTTTACATTCTGAGAATCCTTTGTATACTAAATACATGGCGATCTCTCTCAACGTAGATTAAATACATATCGAAACGAAAAACATACAAAAAAAAATTACAAGCAAATACAACATGTGGAGGACACACTAGTTTGTTGCCACTAAAACTTGGCCAAGCTTCAGGGCACGTTCCTTGTGATGTAGCCTTCTTTTGTTAGTCTGCTCACTGATTTGTTTCACACCCAAGGAAATGGATCAGTAAGTCATTGTTTTACGGAGATTTGAACGACCCATACCCTCCTTCGGTTTCCAAATAATCTCTTCTAATTTGGCACAGAAATTCTTGTAAAACTGCACAAAGAACCGAAAAGAATCACAGGAAAGTTAAATTAACTGTTGCAGGCATGCAATCTTCAAAGAAACATTGTACAAGGAGAAACAAAATACGAATCCAGGAATGCCATGTTGTGTACTTGAGACCCGTCAAAAGATCGTACTGTTGCAGTCAAGTATGATAGGCAAACAATAATGAACTAGATTTGAATTTATGCCATCCACTAGAAGCTAACCTTATGATATTCAAGAGTATCTCCGGCAGCCTTTCGAACATCTACCATGAAAAGGGATGGTGCAACTTCATAAACCTATATGCAAAAGATAACGATCATGTTAAGTAGTAGTTGTACCGAGATCGGGCTTCCTTTGGGAAGATAATTACAATGGATATGCCGACAATCTTAAAAGATTACCTCTAGGACCACTGCAAATTGTCCCGTCCTATTTGCGGATATTCCTTCAAGTCTTGTCTGCGGTGCAAAAATTCAAACACTAAATTAGAACATGTGATATTAAATAAAGGTAGGAAAAATAACCAAATGATTTTCGGTAGCATCATCCAAAGTACATATTAGATTCCAATACAAAGCACTACGGTAACCCAACCGGTAATACTCAAACCTAAACCGAGATCATTAGTCAATGTTGGGCTGCTTAAGTCAAGGTGCAACAATACCTTGTAATTGCGCGTATGGACCTTGAGACCCATTGATTCCGCAACAGCTTCTACATTTGAAATTATAACATGAGCTGGTTTGCGGGAAACAAATCGGGTTTGTCGATTTACATAATCCTGCAAGAAAAAGGTGACATTTGAGAGAGGACAACAATTGGGAAGGGGAGGAAAAGTGCGGCAGCAGAAGTGCTGAAAGTATACAACTATACCTGTCTCCGGTCAAACAATGCAGATAGATTTAGCCCTTGGGATAGGGTAATCATCTCGAACGCATTCATTAACAAAGGACCACCATCCTTAATTTCTGACCGCTCCGCTACATATTGGTCCTGTGACATACATACCAATAGTGCAGAAATACTTTCTTCTTTAGTAATCAAATAGACCTTGAAATGCATATATCACTACTTTACTGCATCCTACAAATCTGTACACAATAATAATGTAAATCACAAAATTTTACAACTTTGCATTTGAAAGTTTCTTACTTATATAGCACAAAAGAAACATTAACCAACCTCAATATCCTCAAAAACTGCACGAACATCATCCAAGCTTACTTCCTCATCTTCCCTATATGTGAGAGGGGCATAATTTTTCTTGAACCATGGATCCTTTCTGATTCCATCAATCCGAATTCGCTGCATTAACACATGAACCAGTAAAACAAAGTTAGGAGATTCCTTAACCCTCCAAAAAAATGTAGATTTTTTTTTCCTTTAACTGATTGAGAAACCAGTTTTCTCTCGATTATAACACATACTTTATCACCATATGGCTTCCGAAAAATATAGGATCGATTTTATATATACTTGTGTAATGCTGCTGAATTTGATCAATAAATTATAGTGTGAAGTTAATCATATAGACCTTTAATCAACTGGCACAAAAATTACTAATATCTGAATGTACTCACAGTTTTGGGATTGGGATCAAGTATCTTATGTATCAATTTATTTGCCTCGGGAGAAAACCAAAACGGACAGGAGAAGTCTGCATCATTAATCTACAGACAAGACAAAAGAAGAGTTAGAATCTCCTATCACTCTAGCGATATCCATACAGTTTATAGAGAAACACTGTAGGAGTGGCGGGCAGGACCAAATCCACATTCCTATGGGTGATAAAAGTGTAACTGTGTTCAGAAGCCTATGTTGGTTGCATTTCTGATACTGTGATACAGCATCTCCAAGTACGTGAACAGGCATGCAATAGGATAGTTACAAATTACAATATGACATCTCAGAAAAAAAAATTGAGAAAAATAAGTTCCCGTGCAAGATATTCACAAATAGTGAAGGAAACCATAGTGTTAGGCATGAACATTGCAATGCGCAATTCCAAACGTTGTATAAGTTGACATAATTCTTACTAAATCAAGCAATGGAAGCATACTTTTCTATAGAGGGTGGATAGGTTTGTCTCATCAAATGGGAGGTATCCAGCCATTAAAACAAATAGGATAACCCCACATGACCAAATATCAGCAGCAGAGCCATCATAACCCTGGTCACCCAGCACCTGTTAGGCAATGGTAACAGAACATATTTAGCATAAGATTTTGTTCTCTCCAACTGAATTCTATATTATTGTTTTTGCACAAATTATCAGTTAGCTATCTCATCAAGTGGATGGTGTGAATTCAGTAAGTTTCAAGAAATTTTACCTCAGGCGCAATGTAATTTGGGGTTCCACACGTGGTATGAAGAAGACCGTCCCCCTGCTCAAGGATTAGGCAACACAGGACCATTGGTCAAAGACATAGGAGAAAAGACGAAAAGGTAAAGTATAAGAAAATCATGCACGTAAAATTAAAATTCTCAAGCTTGATTGAATATTAAAATAACAAGATCATCCTTACTTGCAGGGGCAATGCACTTAGTCCAAAGTCAGAAACCTTCAAATTTCCATAAGCATCAAGGAGAAGATTTTCAGGCTGTAAATGTACATCACAAGGAAAAGAAATAAAAACTAATAAGAACCACAGCACTGTACAGAAACCACAAAAGCAAGTACAATCAGCGTCAACGGGATATTGGTTTGCACCTTCAGGTCTCTGTGGTACACACCCTTACTGTGACAGTGGGCAACTGCATCTATAAGCTGTTGAAAGTATTTCCTGGATTCATTTTCAGGAAGCTTTCCTTGGTGAACCTGTAAATAAAAATACAATTGTTAATACAGAGATTCACCTATACGAATTATAATATGGGTCCCAATCTTGAATAAGTAGCCTTACAATTTTATCAAACAATTCTCCTCCAGTTACAAACTCAAGAATTATAAATATCTTCGTCCGACCAGCCAAAACCTAGAATTTGGAAAGGAGAAAGCATATAGAAACAGGGGCGAAAAAAAAAATGCATATCAGCATACAAATTTCCAAATATTAACAGAAGTTCGGAAATGAGGCATTAATCCGGGACAGCGTAAACATACCTCTAGCAGCCTTACAATATTAGGATGCCTGACAATTTTCATTATGGATATCTCTCTTTTAATCTGAAACAGAAATTGAATAGAAGTTAGCCTACTCCATAAACACAACAATTTTTTTTTATACATACAAGCAATATTTTACCTAAAACTAATCTAAAAACTATATAAACTAGAGATACGGGGATTTAAACTCGGTGTATAGGAAGAGCATCCTTTCTATCCAATGTGGCTACGCCGCGTCTGCAATCCAAAACACAATAATTTAAGGAGGAACAAGTAAATCACCTGATCAACCATTCTGTGCTTGAGAATGGTGCTTTTGGCCAAAACCTTCATGGCCACGCTTTCGCCGGACTCGCAGTTCCTCGCAAACTTAACCTTGGCGAATGTCCCTTCGCCGATCGTCCGCCCCACCTCATACTTCCCTACATTTCTCGACTTCTTCTTCATTGTCGTCCCTCTGAGCTCATTTCCCACAAAAATCACAGAACCAAACTCTCCGATTCCCGGAAAACCCAAACTTTCACGATCTAGCAAGACAATTTCAGCTTCGATTTCACTAAGAATTCAAAATTAACATGAAATTAGAAGTAAATTCAGTCAACCCAAGTTCCAGTTTTCATAAACAAGCATAAAAATCAAATCTTTTCCAATTAACTTCAATCAACACGAAATTTATGAACCCTAAGACATTGTTTGGGATGCTGAACGATCAGTGATGGACCATGGAGCATAAACAGAATTGGAAAATTGGTCAATTCAATTCACGTGGCTGTGATTTTCACCACAAACTAATCAGGAGTTGGAGAATCGAAGTCAGAGAGCATAATTTGAAAGAAAGGAGAATGATGCATTCATAATGGGGAATATTCCGGCGAGGTACTTACCGGAGAATGAGAATATTCTGGTGGATAGTCACCGTGGGGATAAAGGTACGTGCCTTCGGTTGCTCTGGGTGCCCGACTTAAACGGTTTGTCGGGTCGGCTCCGACGAGGCTGAGGCTGCCCGGAGAGGTAGAGAGTCCAAATTTAGCCGCTGAAAATGTGAAAATAACGTCGAAGGTTTGCAAATGATGACGTGACGTAAGTACGACCATTTTGTATTTTCATGACCATTTGTATATTCATGTCCCACCAAAGTATACATATGCCACTTTTCTTTTGTTATCTATTTCTTTTGAACTAATTCAAAATCCAACATCGATTATAATCGTAACTCATTTCTCCATATTGTTTGCTATTTGATTACATTTAGTAGAACCTAGCATACCCGTTGTTGAAACTCGATATGTAATCCCTCAAGGATTTGCTCGAACCTTTATATACCAAGGCAAGAACGATATGTGTGTACTATTTTTTGAAAATAACCATATAAGTATCTGTTTGGGTCCAAAAATATTGTTTTGGGCCGAGTTTAGATCTTTCTTGGCCCAGTGTTCGATAAGCCGAGTTTAGAATCATTCTCGGCCCATAAGTCATGTGTAGGTGTCATTGGGAGATATTCAGCCCATGGGCCGCACAATCGAAGTTGGCCATATCCTATCGGAAATTGGGAATGTGGACGAATCCTGTTATGAGAAGGAGTTTCGACGAGATCAGGATGCTGGGATTGAATATGGTCTAATAACAAGTTATGTTCAAAGTCTTGGTAGGAATAGGATTGGCCGAGATAAAGTTGGATCATGAGAAGGAACTTTAATCTGGGAGTGATTAGGATTCAATACATGTTGGCTGCTATAAATAAGGAGAGAAAACATCGAAACAAACCTCTCCAATTCAACACACAAATTACCCTGCGCATTCTCTCGCTCTACGCGAAACCTCTCAACAACCTTGAGATTTTTGTTTTCCCTTTTCGCCGACACACATTCAGTTAAATAAACAGCACTGTGGAGACAACCAACGAACATCTTCAGTTTGGATAAACAGCACTGTTGCCATAGAATCAGCCGACCGTGAAGCATCTTCAGTTTGGATAAATAACAATGCGACAAGGCCGACAGGTTACCTATCAAAGTCTCGGTCGAGAAGGATTTTTTGAATCCTTATCGGCAGAAGTCATCTCGTTAGCCTTCTTGGCGAAGCGAGGTGTTACAAGTTATTGTACTCAGCACATTGAACGTCGAGTCGTTTATGATTGGTTATTCACAAGTAGGATTTAGAGTTCAGCATTCTGACGGCTGAACCACTTTCACAATCAAGACGTATATTTGTTTTGAATACTTGTGTCCTTATACTTTGGTGTCAATTTGGCGTGCTTATACTCTTACGAATATAATCACAGTAACCAAATATGGCGCCGACGATTTGTGAACTTCGCAAAACTAGTAGCCAGTGGCGGAGCCAGGATTTCGGGTTAGGAGTGGCCTCTCACAAATATTAAAAAAAAATTAAATCGATAGTAGTTACAATATTGTTAACCAAAACATCATAGTATATATATGAAAATGATCATATTGGAGAGTTTCCGAGTTAATTTCCATAGAATCCACACAAGTTTGTTTTGAACTACTTTCATTGTTCTTTGGACTCTTTGGAGACGGTTCTAATATCTCAGGTTGTGTTTTTCTTTTGAAATATCTTTCCATAACTGAAATGTAAAAAAACATAGACTCACTAACTTTAAATTAAAAGAAATATGAACATATATGCTAATTTTACAAACTAAAACAAATTAGGCAATAGTTAAGAGAAATTGCAAGACATCAATTTAATCATAATTTATAAACAAAAAATTGTAACAGGAATTGAGAGTAAAATACATACTTTGGGTTGTTGACCAATTAACTAAACTTCAATGTATTTTTTATGGAATGATGGAATAATTGAATTCTTTAATCTGCAAAAAAAAAATTATTTGTTAAATTAATTTACAATTGTAGATGACAACATATATGAATTAGCAAATTGTAAAAAAAATATTGAAAATGACAACTATGAAGATTCGAAGTTCATACTCTTGAGGATCATGGAAATTGAAGACTAATAGATTGATAGACTAGTTGAAGACTGTGACATGCTATAGATGAGAGAAGCAGTGTACGGCTTGTGTACCACGGGAGGGATCAGACTGAGAGAAGCAGTGTTCTGACTATTTTTTCAAACTAGCAGCAGCAACAGTCGGCTAGAATTAGAGAATAATAAAATACTAATTTTTAGTATTGGGAAAATGAATGGAAGATGAAGTGTTTGAAGTTGGAATAGGTTATAGGTAGGCTTTAGGGTTATTTAAAGAGGGCCGGATATTCTTAAAATATTTAAAGAGGGCCGGATAGTTTGTCTAGGAAATATGAATGATTTAACTGAAAATAATAAAATAATAAGTAGTACTAATTTTTAGTTATAAACAAAAGCAGGATGGGCCTAGGACTACTGTGGTCCTATGGTTCCTCCGCCCCTGCTAGTAGCCTTGTCTTCAGGCTTTAGAACCCGAAGGCCGAGAGTGTTTCTTCATCGGCCGCAGTCGCACGATCGAGAAGTCAGCTGCGCACCCAACACAACATCAACAAATTTTACTCTTCGGCCGAGTTCGGCCGACGAGTTGGCACGCCCTGCATACAATCGAAGGACGTAGTTAGCTTATTAATTACTCTGTCTACGCGCCACGTAGACTTGGTAATTTTTTAAGGTCAACAGTATCAAAAAAGACTTGCCTAAGTCGAAGAAAGAGGTAATCGATCCCGGAGCAATCTGTTTGAACCCGTCCCGGGCTGCACATCTGAAACTGGTCGGGAAGAGGCGACACTTGGTGGCGTCGTTGTTCCCTCTGCCCTCAACAGCATAGATGAAGCCGGTAAGGTGGTCATACGGGTCGGTGGGCCTTTCATAGCCCTGCATTTTGAGGGTCCATGTGTCGCCCCTCGTTGGTTCGTCGATCAACGAGGAAATTTTGTTGCTAAAGAGCCATTTTATTATAGTGACTCAATGCAAGCATATATCATGCGGAAGAAAAATTTAGGTATGACAATTTAATCAATTGGATGCTTGAATTATTATTCACTCTAGAAAGAAAATGAATGACCTCCTTTGTATTTTCAGTATCGTCTGGCCTCATCTAGCTTCAATTTGTGAGGATATGACTTAATCATGCACATATTCATATGACATTGAAATACAATATTGTGCAAATCTTGTAAAGCAAACTCTGATTTTGACTTTATCCATTACTTTGTGGGGTATGCTATTCACACATCCTATTTTACTTCTCACATATCCCTTGATAATTTATGTCCGTTGATCTTCTTCAATTCATCCGATCTGACGGCCGAAAATTAAAAAGGTATGTGAGAAGTAAAATGAGATGTGTGGATATCATACCCCTACTTTTTTCTTTTGGTCAAAGCTTTATCCATTACTTTGAAATGATACAACAATCGCAGTTAAATCCAAAATATGTGATCTGATCGTAAGCATGAAGATTGCAAGCCAACAACAATAACATGAAGATAATGTAGGAATTTAGCTAAAACAAAGATACTGAGGGATAAAAAATAAAAAATAAAAAACTAATGAAAATGGTTTGAAAACTTTGAGTTTTAACGATAAGAATAAAATAAAGGGTAAAGTGAATAGTACCAGGATTGACTTTTTAGTGTAAAAATATGATTTTTCGTTAAAGTGAACAGTACGATGAGCTTTTCGTTAAAATTCCCTAAAAAAAATTCTTATCTAAGCTATTGTAGTTAGCCTAGTGGCGAGGGTAGGATAGGACATGGTTTGAAACCCTTTAGAAATGCAAGTGAGAGTTGTTCACTTTTAGCGAGAGATTTTTTAGTGTACAGAACACAGTCTGGTATACCAAGTATACAAGTGGTTGAACACTTGAAAACATAAATTTAACCACTTATATTATGATACTTGGTGTACTGAACGGTATTCCCAACTATCCCACTTGACGAGTTCCTTTCATTCTTATTGGAGGATGCAATGAGATGAAATATTTAGATTTCTCCCATTGGGTGTTACAAGATTATATGGATTGAATTTAATTTGGTTGCTTGCTTTCGATATTGAGGTCTATATTACAAGATTATATGGATTGAATTTAATTTGGTTGTTTGCTTTCGATCTTGAGGTCTATATTTTGACTACCACCCATATGCATGGAATCTCCATCACATAAATTGGATCGTCAAATTTTCCCATCTCTTTCACTCTATTTTTTTGCTTTGTATCTCTTTCACTCCACCTTATACTAATTAGAGGTCTATTCTAAATAGGATTTCTATCTCTTTTGTTATGGCATTGTTAGGAGTCATTTTGTTCACTAGTCTACTACCCAACTTTTGCAAGTTGGAGTCTTCTAACGTTTATTTGGATTCCAACATCAAGTTAGTGACAATCTACAATCTATAATCTTGACCTCTTGATGCCTCGAATAATGTTATTTCTTTTTTCCTCTCCACTTGAATTATTGGCCCGTACATCTAAACCTCTCATTTAGCATAAATATAATTTTCTTTTGCAGGATATAGCATATTTAGTTATCGTGATCGTAAATTTTGATAACAACGATATTGCAAAGGAATAAGCTTACACATACGATTAAGATTTGAACTTTACAGCAGTAGTTAATTACGTTATTTGAAATTGAGAGTCTTCATCTTTGGAAGTTGGAAGTACTTGTGTAGAAAATGACCCTTCACCAAGTCATCTTTGAAGACTACTGATACTTCGGTTCCATTTGCCAAATAATGGTGTGTGGGTATGAGATGCAGGCAGTTTGTGAGAATTAATTCCAAATCATGTCCATATTTGAGAGATAAAGACCATTATCTACTTCATGCATCTTTCACAGGTGAAAATAGCATCTTTACGAAGTAAGGGTAAAGCTGCGTACGATAGATATTCCTTATCGATCCTCGCAAAGCGGGAAGTCTTGTTGGCCTGAGGTCACCCTTTTTATGGGACAAAGATCCCAGCCGGATCTCACCCCACCAAATCCTAAGGATCTGGAGATCCAGACCGTTGAAATTTGATCAACGGCTGCCCTTCTAAAAGTGATAATAATTGTAGCCGTTGGATCAAAATTCAAGGGCTGGATCTCCG